TATCTGTTCACTCTCTAAATAAAATAAAAAAAGAGTCAAAGAAAATTAGTGCTAGACAAGCTTTTGAATAATGATTCAGAATAGCTAGCACTAAGACCTATACAAATGGCACATGATACGGAAATGCAGTATGACCAGTAACAATAGAAATGACAGGCATCATTGCAGAACTGTGAACTAATTCACAGACCTGGTTAAGTTTCCTTTGGTTTCACGTTTTGGAAACTGAAAACGTGGGGCTTATGGCCACCATCCTGAAACAAGCATAGGCTTACCTCTAAGCACACAAGTAGCCCCATTGCTTTCACCACAATTACTCATAAAATTGTGAAAGTGTTCACAGGACCAGGCTATAATGTCTGGCTACCTGGCTCTTTGTAAGACTTCTGGGATAGATATCTGACCCCCATTACCTGAGTACCTCATGGTCCTTAACATAGTATCCTCACAACACCCTTGTGAGGTAGGGCAGTGTTATTATCCCCAGGTTACAGACGGGAAACTAAGGTACAGTGAGATAAAGGGACTTGCCCAAGGTCACACAAGATGTCTGTGGCAGAGTAGGAAACTGAACCCAGGTCTCTGAAGTCCTAGGATAGCACTCTAACCACAGGACCATCTTACTCTTGCCATTAATTGGGGGAGAGGGCAGTGTCCTGTGACTCAGCCCTTATAAAGACACTTCCTGGCTCAATTCCCACCCCCACAAAAACCCCAAAAGCCACACACACACAACCCCACCCCCCAAGGTGTCAAGGGTTTAGCAACACAAGAGCACTTGTTATTTTATACTCACGGTTATTGCCTGGTGGAATCTGGAAAGCAATATTTCTCTCTAAAAAAACCAAAAACCACATAAAGAAGAAATAAAATATCACTTTAGCCTTGTTGACACACAGCATGACACGGTTTAAATACAGGGGTGATGTTAAACAAGTTTAGTTAAAGCACTGGAAAAGGCCATGCAGACACTGATTTCAGTTCAGTTTAGCTCAAGACAATCAGGAACATGTTTATCTAAACCAAAATACACCCATCTTAAACCAAAATGCAAATGTCCACACTGGAGTCTGCACCTGTCCATAAGCAACTTTTCAAAAACACCCCAAAACATGACTTACAGTGTTTCAAACTCCTCCAGTAACGGAAGCACGGTCCTGATCCTGCCAACACCTACACCCATGCTTAACCTTAATCATGCAAGTATTGACTTGAATGGGGCTGCTCATCTGTATACAATTAAACACTAGTTTAAACCTTGGCTGAGCCCAGCACCTCGATTCTCCAGTGACTGTGAAGCAAAAGCGAATCACACATGCCCCATACATGCAGGCTGAGAGAGGGGATTTGGGTTTTTGGGGTATACCTGCACAGGAGGGTTTTTTAATAGGGTCATCCCACGGATAAAGGTAGGGCACGTGGGAGGTCATAACTAAATTACAGCTGGCTTTTGGAGCAGAGGCTGGGGGCTCTCAAGGCAGCCCTGGAGAGACAGGAAATAAACAGTCATAACCTGGAGTCACCCCCCACTACTGGGGAGGAACGGGGGTCACCCCTACATGATAGAGGACAAGGGAAAAGACATGAGGATCACTCACACACACCCCAATTCTGGGGGGAGAAGAGGGGAATGCAGGGGAGTGGTGTGTGTCCCCCCCCAGTGCTGGAGGGAGAAAGGAGGAATGCGGGGGAGTGGTGTCTTCCCCCACCAGCGCTGGGAGGAGAAGGGGGGAGTGCGGGGGAGTGGTGTCTCCCCCCCCCAGCGCTGTGAGAAGAAGGGGAGAGTGCAAGAGGGGGTGTCTCCCCCCAGTGCTGGAGGGAGAAGGGGGGAGTGCGGTGGGGGTGTCTTCCCCCCCCCCCGTGCTGGGAGGAGAAGGGGGAATGCAGGGGGGGGG